ATAAGCATTTGAACCAGAAAAGAAAGGTCTATCCCAGTCTTAAAATAAATAAATCTGAAGTGCTACAGAGCAAACAGACTGTGGGGCAGGAAGGCTGTGTGTGCTGGAGCTCAGTGACACCCTGGGATTGATGGACCAGAAAGGGGACCTGTGTGCTCAGATGGAGACAGATCCAGCTGGAAATGTTTTTTTTTTTTTACATAGTGAGGAGATTTATAAATCTTTATTACAAAATTTCAGCATGTAAGTTCTGTGAATTGCTGGTGCCACAAATACTGCCAACAGCAGAACCTCTCCTGTGCTGGAGGTGCCCCTGAGTGTTCAGGGCACAGCAGGAAGAGTTGCCTCTGCCAGGTGCCAGGTGGAAACAGTTAAATGCACATAAAAATATTCCTGTGTGGAACTGGCCCTGACTTATGGGAGTATGATTTTTGTACTGGTAATTGAGGTGTTTAAGAGGTGAGGGAGCAATGATGGGGTTTTAACTCTGGGAATTAAAATGCAGGGGATGGTTTAAATACCTTCCTCTTTAATTTGCAGTAAGTAATGTCTGTCTGTTAGTAATTAAATTCTCACTGAGCTGCAGGAGTTGTGCTGTGTTGGGCTTGGGAAGAACAGGAACAGGGAGCGACAGTGCTGCTCTTCCCGAGTCTCCCAGGGCTGAGTGGAGCTTTAGGGAATGTGTGAACTGCTCCTGGCTGGGGCTGCTCATCATCCTCCCGAGGCCATTTGATCAGCAGAGCTAAAAATACTGCTCCTGGAGCTGGAGCTGGAGCTGTGCATCCCTGTCCCTCCCAATCTCCTCTCGCTCCGCAGGCAGCCCGGGGAGCTCGGCGGCCTCGGGGTGATGGTTTTGCTGATGGAGGGTTCAGATCTCGGCTCACTGCAAATTCAATCATCAGCTCAGGAATCTCGGAACGTTTTTTTGAGCGTGACATTTCTTCTTGCTTTGATAATCAGAAAAATACTGGGAGCTCTGTGCAGTGGGCTGAGATCTCGCCAGGCTTTCCTCACACATTCAGTCCTGCCCAGCAGAGTAGGGGAGAGCAGAGCAGCTGGAACAAGAGCGGAAATGAACCTAGATTTTCCATTTTGTGAGAAATTCCAGATTTGACATGATGCTTTTCATTGTGAACATGTGTGTGAATTGAAATTCCAAAATATCTTTGATTTTGTTCAAAAGAGATTTGTTTTTTTTGTCAGTGGTCAATTTTTCCTTTTAAAGATCGTGAAACTATTTTATGGTATTATTAAAATCTTCATTTGGTATTTGATTTTTGTATTTTAATGAAATTTGTCACACCCAAGTTTGTAATTGAAGGTCTGAATTTGGGAAATCACTTCACCTCGTGCTTACCTTCCCCTCTTTCTTATGTCCCACTGGAATGAGGGGTTTAAGCTTCTCTAAATCAGGACCATTAATAGTTAAAGAAATGAACAGTAATTATTGAATTGGAAAATTAGAGGCTGATCAAAAATTTATTTGAGCGACAGTTTATGGAAATCATGAGAAACGTGCAGAAGGCATTTCTGCCCTATGGATGTGAAGTGCCTGGAGCACCAGGAATGTTGAGCTTTGCTATAAACCAGAGCTGGCAACACGAGACCAACTTAATGGGCACTTATTGTTTCTAATATTTTATTAAGTCTCTAAATTAAAAAATAATCCTTTTGCCAAGCCCTCCTGGCACTTTAGAATTTGCAGGAAATGAGAGCAAGATGTACAGTTTTTACATTGGTGTAGGGAAGCCTTTGTAGTGTTCTGGCTGTGGAGTGGGGCTCTTGTTCCTGCTGTTCTGGCTGTGCCTCTCCGTGTGTCTGGCTGGGAGAACTTAGATTTTGCTGCTTGGGATTTGTGCTGGAGGTCTGAGGAGAAGCTCTAAATGTTGTCCAGTTCCTTCCTGGATTGCTGCAGTGATTCCTTCCTGGACAGTTAATTGCACCCCTTGTAAATAAGGCTTCAAAATTTGTAACTCAGGTGCCAAATCTGCAAAAACTTCACTTAATACAACCTAAAGCATGAGTGCTTTTTGAATTTAGTTATGGCAGGCTTAAAATTATGGGATATTGGAAATATTCACCCTTAGAGTGTTGGAGGAACTTCATGCTGGGTGGAAGTGTGAAGGTCTGTTCTGTGCTGGCACATCCTGGGCATGGTCACTGGGAATGGGAGTGAGGAATGGGCAACTCTGCTCCAAAAAGTGGAGGGGCAGGTGCTGAGCTCTTCTGAGGGAAAGAAGGGAACAGTACAGCTGTGTCAGGGGAGGTTTAGGTTGGATCTCAGCAAAAGGTTCTTCCTCCAGAGGGTGGTTGGCACTGCCCAGGCTCCCCAGGGCAGTGGGCACAGCCCCAAGGCTGCCAGAGCTCCAGGAGGGTTTGGACAACACTCTGAGGGGCAGGATGGGATTGTTGGGGTGTCTGTGCAGGGCCAGGAATTGGACTAATGATCCCTGTGGGTCCTTCCAACTCAGGATATTCTGTGATTCTATGGAGAATCCTGCAATCCTTCAGCACGAGAGCCTGACACCCACGGGCGTTGGGTGACTGACCTGGGAATGGGGACGTGGTTTGGCCTCTAGGCATCCACAGCACCCATCTCCTGGAGCCTCACTGCTCCCTCAGGGATAGCTCAGGGATAGCTCAGGGATAGCTCAGGGATAGCTCAGGGATAGCTCAGGGATAACTGTGCTGTTGCTTAGCAGCTGCCGAGCTGCAGTTTGGAGGTGCCGAGCGGTGGGTCCAGGTTACCTTCCTCCTGTGCCCCTCTCCACGAGCTGTGCAGCACAGGAGGAACATCCCGGGGAGCTGGTGGGGCCAGAGACACCCTTGCTACCGTGGGGTAAGTTGTCCCTCTCATCCATCACCTTTTCCTCGCTGTTGTTGCCTCGTGCCTGGGATAGGGTTCATCCGGAGCCGGGGGAACGCTGTCCGTGCAGGATCCTGTCACACCACTGCCCCAGCTGTTCCTCTCTTGCACATTTAACTCTTACTGTCTTCATTCATGATGGAGAGACTGCAAATCTACAGGCCAGCATTGAAAATATGGAATTAATGCCAGGTTTGGGCTCATTTGACAGATGGTTTGTTATTTGTAGGGTGTGTACGAGATGGTGCTGGAATGCCCAGTTCAGTGCCAGGAGCAGATCCAGGGTCACAGGGATTTCTCAGGCTGTTGTTCCTTATGTTGGTGACTAAACCTGGCTCAGCTGAAGGTCACGCTGGCAGCTCAGTGAGAGAACAAGAACCTCTTAATTGCAGAAGATGGAGGAATGGGAAGGCTGACAGCTCCCTGGGCATAATTAGACTTTGCAGTCCTGGTTTTGTTTTTCTCCTTTAGACAAAAGGTGAGATGGCAGAACGTGGAAATTCCAAAGCTTTTCTGTCCTGTGTAGGTGCCTCTTTGTAGGACTGTGGAATAAGGGTGATTTCTTGGGAGCTGAGAGCAGAGTTTGTGGGCACAGTGACAGTTTGGAGTTGTCTGCAGTGACCTGGGTGGAACAGAGCTGGGTTGAAGGGTTCACATCTACAGTTGCCTTGCAGGCTTTGGGTGTTAATATTAAAGTGAGGCTTAGAACTTTGCTGATAAAGAAATGAATATAGCAGAATTCCGACTGGGAATTCAGAGTAGGCCATGCCTTTTGTGTCCCAGGGAGGAGGGCACCTGGCACAGCCCTGCCAGCCATGGCTGGGGTCACAACCTACAGCTTGTGTCCCCTCTCACCCTACACATTCCCTGCTTTCTGCTCTGCTTGCCAGGCATCCCTGTGTCCCTTTGAATCCTTGGCCCTGCCCTTGAGTGTCTATGTAACCTGGAGCAACTTGGTCTAGTGGAAAGTGTCCCTGCCTGTGGCAGGGGGTGGAAAGGGATGAGATTTAAGGTCCCTTCCAACCCAAACCATTCTGGGATTCTGTGATTAATGACTGTTCATAAAGTGCTTTAACCTGTAAACTGCTGCATTATTACAACATTTTTTACTGAACACAACAGGCTGTGAAGCTTTTAAAAGTCATCAGTAGATATTAAAAGCTTCCCAAAGCAGATTATTCCACGCTGCCATGGCCCTTCCCTGTCCCCTGGAGCTGTCTGGATCTTGGCTGTGTTTTAATTGGGGACATGATATGCACTCAGGAGTAAATCTGCAGCTAGTGTTGTTCATCATGGATTGGTTTTTAATTCAGCTGAAGACTTGCCTGGGGCACCTGACAGAAATTTTGCAAGCTCCAATCCTGCCTTCAGATCCCTGGGTTTATATCCTTCTATCTGTGCAGAATCTCATGTCACACTGTTTATCCAAGCCCTTTGTCATTTACATTCCTGCAAAGACACCTTGGGTAGGAAAATACCACAAAATCCTTGTGGGACAGGTGGATGTTACCTGGATCCATCTCATCATGTCTGTCAGTGTTTAAGAACCATTTGGAGAATGCCCTTGAAAATGTCATTTAACCTTTGATAAGTCCTTCAGTGGTCAGGACTAGATGATCATGAGAGGTCACTTCCAACTGAAATCTCTCCTCCTTCTCCTCCCCCTCCCCTCCCCCTCCCCCTCCCCCCCTCTCCCCTCTCCCCTCTCTCTCTTCCTCTCCTTCCCTCTCCCTCCCTCTCCTCTCCCTCTCCCTCTCGTCTCCTCTCCCTCTCCCTCTCCCTCTCCCTCTCCCTCTTCTCCCTCTCCCTCTTCCCTCTCCTCTCCCCTTCCTCTCCCTCTCCCTCCCTCTCCTCCCTGGCTCTCCTACCCCTGAAACACTTCCATTAAACAAAACCAGACCAGGAAATCGATGCCTGGCCACCTCCAGGCCATGGTTAAACAGTTCAAACAGGAACTCTCCCGTGTTTTGAGCATGGATGGCTGCCTGCAAATTCAAACATGAAAACACTACTCAGGCACTTCCATGGCTTTCAGATGTTTTGAGAGGAAAGTGCTGCTTCTGCACAAGTTTTCCTTTTCTAACCCAAACTGGTGATGGGTTTGTAAAAGTGTGACTCTCTTGTGTCTGTGCAGGGGAGGAGCTGGATTGTGAAGAGGAGTTATGAGGATTTCAGGGTGCTGGACAAACACCTCCACCTGTGCATCTACGACCGGCGCTTCTCCCAGCTGGCAGAGCTGCCCCGCTCCGATGCCCTGAGGGACAGCCCCGAGGTAAATCACACCTCTGGAAACATCTGCAGCACTGGCAGGACACCTCCAGTCACCTACAGTCACTCACAGTCACCTCCAGTCACCCACAGTCCCCTATGGTCACCTCCAGCCACCTACAGTCTGCTATGGTCACCTACAGTCACCCACAGTCACCTCCAGCCACCTCCAATCACTCACAGTCACCCACAATCACCTCCAGTCACCTCCAGTCACCCACAGTCACCTACAGTCACCCACAGTCACTTCCAGCCACCTCCAGTCCCCTATAGTCACCCACAGTCACCTACAGACAGCTACAGTCCCCTATAGTCACCTCCAGTCACCCACAGCACCTCCAGCCACCTCCAGTCACCCACAGTCACCTCCAGTCACCCACAGTCACCTCCAGTCACCCACAGCACCTCCAGCCACCTCCAGTCACCCACAGTCACCTCCAGTCACCCACAGTCACCTACAGTCACCCACAGTCACCTCCAGTCACCCACAGCCACCTACAGTCCCCTGTGGTCACCTACAGTCATCCACAGTCCCCTGTGGTCACCTACAGTCATCCACAGTCACCTCCAGCCAGGGGTTGGGGATATTTTCAACTAATGGCATCAAGCTGCACCAGGATATTTGGGAAATATATGGGATTTTAGGGTTAGGATTATAGGGATCCTGTGATTTATCTCAGTTTATCTGGCAGAGGTTAAAGGTAGAGTAAAAAAGAACCTCCTCATCCTGGACTGTGCTGGTGGTGCTGGCTGATGGTTGGACTTGAAGATCTTAGAGGTCTTTTCCAGCCTTGGCAATTCCATGATTCCATGTAGTAGCCAACTATGAGTGCAGAGTCCTTTTAATGCAGCCCGGGTTAGATTTGAAAACTGACTCCTGGGAATAAGGTCAGTGATTTTTATCCCTGATTTCAGTGACCTGAAGGGAAATATCCTGCAAGTTCATATGAATTGGTTAAGCTGCTAAGTCTGAATGGTTGTTCAGAGTGTCAAGAAAGCACCTGTTGGTGCCTTAGATCCCAATTGTGTCTTTGGAAACTTTGTCAGCATTCCTAGGAAATCCTGCTGTCCCAGGCTGCAGCACTGCAGGAGCAATCCCACTTGGAGTGCTAGACTTGCATTTTCAACTGAATATTCCTAAAGCTGCTTTCTAAGAGCATTTGCATTAGTGCATTATTTAAATGGACTTTAAAAGCTGTTTTTCCTGCATGGATAAGAGGGAGTTTTCATTTCTTGACTTACTGTCTTCCCCTGGAATATGATGAGCTGGAATTCCTTCGGCTTCTCGCCTGTTGCTCATGGAAAGGTGTGTTCATGTCCAAAATAATCTTCTGGAAAGTAGCAGGTGCATCTTGGCTGCATCACTTCAGAGCACATGGAGGGGGAGGCAGTGCAGGGAAAGGGAAATGAGGGAAATTCAATCCAAGCACTCAAAGAATCATCTGTCCAGGAACTATAAATCAGGATCTGTGTTCCTTCAGTGCTGAGCAGGGATTGCTTTGGAGCCACGCACAGGGGCTGAAACCAGTACCCCCTGGGATTCCTTGGGGTGTTTGCCATTGGATACAGGGACCTGATCCTGCAGCCCCATTGCTCAGCAGAGAGACACTTTTCTTATTGCTTTGGCTTCACACAGCCTCTGTCTGAAAAAAAATTTAAAGTTTCTAGTTTCTTAAACTCAGCAGAAGCAGCCCCATCCAGGATAATGAATCCCTGGTTTTATTTTTAATTGTGTTTTAGGCATTCCTGTCTCTTATATCTTTATTCGTACAACTGATTTAATATGGTTTAGAGCATGAGCCCAAAAATCTGCATTCTGTGTGTAAGCACAGGAGCTGTAAAGATGTTGAACAGCTCTGTTGCTCTGTGAACTGTAACTCTGCAGCTGTGGAGTGTCTCATCATGTATTTTTCATTTTGAACTGGCCACATTTGAGCACATGTTTGAGGAGAACAATGTTTTAAACAGTCCTACAGACTCTGGGCTACAATAGTGCTTTATAACACTGTCACTGTGAGCCTTTGGAGAGACCTCACGAGTTTCTCTTTAATAAAAACAAGTTTATTGTTACAGAGGGGACATTGCTAAGTGTATTTTTAAACCCCTCCTCTACTGTTTGAAATATTACTCTTTGCTCAGGGGGTCAGTCTGAGTTGCCACATTCTTGAGGGTTTGCAGGAGAGTGGAAGGGGCAGCCAGGGTTTTGTTTCACCAAGTGGTTCTCAGGTGTGTTTGGTGGCCATAACATGGGTGTGAAATCCCTGAGGAGAAAAAGGCTTTAGATTTGAGGTATCTTGACAAGGGAAATCATGAAAATCTAAATATCTTACGAAAATAACATTATTACCTTCACAGTGAGCTGCTGCTTTCCAGCTTTTTGGTGTGATCGTTACAGCCCCGTGTGTGGCTTCACATGGCAGAAATACATTTCCTTGCACAAGGGGATTTATTTCTATGACTCTTGCCTATGGCAGTGGCTAATTTATGGTCTCTCCAAGTGTGAAGAAGCCTGTCCAAACTGTGCTGTACTAACAGAAGCACTGTGTGTGTGTTTGTCCCTGTCCCAGCTGGTCACCCAGATGCTCATGGCTTACCTGGCCCGGCTCTCAGCCATCGCAGGCAACAAGATCAACTGTGGGCCTGCCCTCACGTGGATGGAGGTACAGTACAAAGCTCAGGTTGTTCTTCCTTTCCTGACCACAAACCTGCTCTCTTCCAGACCAGTAATCCTCCCAGACCTATTGGTGCCACTGAAATTCCATCCTAAAAGCTTTATTCCCCCGTTACCAGGTGTGTGACATGTAGGTGGCCATAGAAGGTGGAGAACACACAGAATCAGGTCCAATATTAAGAATATAGGAGTTTTTTTCCCCCTCCTGCTTGGATTTTGTCACCCCAAACCGTATTGTTGTGCTGCTAATCACAACTACTGAGGTGGCAGCTCCAGTGAGGCACAGACTGGGGCAATGGGCTGCTGGGAACTCCCAGTGCCAGGCTCAATCTCCCAGTGCCTCACATTCTTACCTCCTTTTTGGCAAGGCACTACTGCAAGTGTGACACATTTCTCGAGCTTTGAGTTGTCTCTGTTGTGCTGTTTGCCTGCCCTCTTTCTTTTTTAATGATTTCTCCTTGTGGGAGCTGCAGCCCCAGTGGGTGCTCTGTGCCCCAGTGGGTGCTCTGTGCCCCGGTGGGTGCTCTGTGCCCCTGTGGGTGCCAGCGCTGACAGAGCCCCCCTCGTGCCCGCAGGGACACTGTTTGCATGGGGGGAGCTGCAGCTGCAGCTTTCTGGGCTAATACCACGGGAACAATAGCCCTCATGGGAAGGGAGGAACACTGGGATCAGGGCAGGGTCCAGCTGTCCCTGCTCAGCCTGGGGACAGACGTGTGGCTTCCCATTCCTGCACACCAGGAATAGCAGCAGCTATAGTTAGACTGTTGCCGTTAATTTTTAAATGGTTGGGATAAGGATTAAGTGTGTTTTCCTGCAGTTTTCCCCCACTGATATCCTCCTCCTCACCCTGAAATCCTTTGGGAGGAGAAAGTCTTGGAAAGCTGCTGAGCAAAGGAAGGAAGTTATAGAGAGAAGTGAAACTGGGGGATCTACAGCAACACAGTGGACCTGGAGATCACAGCAAAGCTGTTGCCTGTGGAGTACAGAACACAGAATTATCGCAGAACTGACTGAGAATCCTACAGAATTTGACACAAGCACAAAAATCTGGGAATTTGCATTCCTGCAGCGAAGAGGGGGAGGGCCATGTTTTCTTTAAAAAGAGAAATAAAAGGGGGGGAGAAAATTGAAAGCAACACTAGTTTTTGGTTTGACAGCATTTCCTCCCTCAGAGCCTCTTCTTGAGCATTAATTCCACTTCACAGAGAATTTCTGTAGCACTGTTTTAAGTACTTGAGGAAAAACAACCTGATTTGATGCTAAAGGGAGGTGCAAACCCTCGCTGGGTGTTCCTGCTTGTGCGCAGAGCTGCACAATGCAGTGTTTTTCTGCTCAGTGGCTGGAGCCACACGACCTTGTACAGCCCCTGAGAGCTGTGCTGGCTGTGCTGTGCCCTCACTCCCAGCTCTCTGCTGGGGCCCCGAGCTGGGCTGTCTCTCTGCATCAGCTTGAAGCCTCTGCTGTGTCTGAGCGCCAATAAAACCCCTCCTCCCTTGTCCTCAGCTGCCTCACAGTCTCTCTCTCTTGCAGATTGATAACAAGGGGAACCACCTGCTAGTCCACGAGGAATCGTCCATTAACGTTCCTGCTATTGCTGCTGCCCATGTTATTAAGAGATATATTGCTCAAGCAGCAGATGAACTGTCCTTTGAGGTAAATAAAGCACTTTTATTCCTTGTTGTCAGACAGAGATGAATGTAATCTGTTTGTGTGTATGTGTCTGTGTTTTTGTGCCCATCATGAATATATCCAGACGCTTTCAGAATGTTTTGTGAGGTGAAGCTTAGAAGATTGAGTTAAATATTCGATCTGCAGTGAGTTGGAGACAGGCAGATGTTCAGTCATCTCTAAAATATAGCTTTACTTGGCATTAGTATCTTCTGGTTAAACAGCTCCTGCCAAGTCCCCTGGGCTGGTCCCTGAGCAGGAGCAGCCCCTGCAGAGTCCATGTGTTGTGTTGTGTCTCTTCAGGGTCACTGTCCATGTGTGTGTGTGTGGACACAAGTTTAATTACTCACTGCCCAGGTTATACAACCTCTGTTTTTAAGAGTGTCTGCTGCCATGAAAAATAAAGAACCAGACTGGCAAAGGATTTGACACTTAAAGGGCGGGTGATGATCTACAACTGGTGTGAAAATCCCACATGAATCATTGAATCCCAGGATGGTTTGGGTTGGAAGGGACCTTAAAGATCATTTACTTCCAAGCCCCTGCCATGGGCAGGGACACTTTCCAATAGACCAGGTTGCTCCAAACCCCATCCAAGATCTGGAGGGTCAGACTGTGGAAGTTTTTGTCTCTCAGGCACTTGCCTGTTTGACCCAAACAGCAGCAGTTCACACTGTGACTGCTCTGAGCAATGGTCCTGTCACTGGAGTGTGCACAGTGCTCTGCAAACAGTGTAAAGGAAAACAGAGCCCAGAGGAGTTTTGTGAGCACATTCTCATGTGCAGCACAGGAAGGAAGAATAATAGTGATAGTCTGGTGCTACCAGGGTTTTGTTCATGTTCCAAATGGAGGCAGTTACTAGTGCTGAGCAAAGAACTGCACGGGTCAGAGAGACGGGTGGGCACAGCACCCCCAGTGAGGGTCCACGGAGCACAGGAGCCATGGAGCACAGGATCCACGGAGCACAGGATCCATGGAGCACAGGATCCACGGAGCCCAGGATCCACGGAGCACAGGATCCATGGAGCACAGGAGCCATGGAGCACAGGATCCACGGAGCACAGGATCCACGGAGCCCAGGATCCACGGAGCACAGGATCCATGGAGCACAGGATCTGTGGAGCACAGGATCCATGGAGCACAGGATCCACGGAGCACAGGATCTGTGGAGCACAGGATCCACGGAGCACAGGATCTGTGGAGCACAGGATCCATGGAGCACAGGATCCACGGAGCACAGGAGCCACGGAGCACAGGAGCCATGGAGCACAGGATCCATGGAGCACAGGAGCCACGGAGCACAGGAGCCATGGAGCACAGGAGCCATGGAGCACAGGATCCATGGAGCACAGGAGCCATGGAGCACAGGATCCATGGAGCACAGGATCCATGGAGCACAGGAGCCACGGAGCACAGGAGCCATGGAGCACAGGATCCATGGAGCACAGGATCTGTGGAGCACAGGATCTGTGGAGCACAGGATCTGTGGAGCACAGGATCCACGGAGCACAGGATCTGTGGAGCACAGGATCCACGGAGCACAGGAGCCATGGAGCACAGGATCCATGGAACACAGGATCTGTGGAGCACAGGAGCCATGGAGCACAGGATCTGTGGAGCACAGGATCTGTGGAGCACAGGAGTCATGGAGCACAGGAACCATGGAGCACAGGAACCAGGCTGTTTGCCAGGGGCTCAGTGCTGATGAGGGCACTGAGCTGGCACTCCCTGCTGTAAATCCTGCTCTGTGCCAGCAGACTGGAATGCAGCTGGAATGCAGCCCAGGTTACGAGGAATAGTGTGTGAGCAGGGAAACTGAGGCACATGTGGCTTCCCAAGTGTGTGCAGAGAGAAACCTTGGCAGGACAGACATGGAACAGGAGCAGCTGTTTTACAGTGTTGTGTCCTGTTCCCTAACCCAAATCACCCCTTTCATATTTAGGATATTCTTAATTTTGAGTGGGCAGTTGCACAAGTAGCTGAGTGGGATTTTGCTGCCCAGGACTGAGGAACACACCCAGTGTCTCTGCTCGTGTGGTGACAGCAGCTTCCTCAGTGGAGACTTGCTTTGCTCTTGGTCCACCATTCCCTTGAGGAAATCACTTCCCTGTGTCTGTTATCCCTGGCTGAAAACTGAGGATGTGTTGTCTTTTCTGTAAAACACACAGAGACCCATCAGTGTCAAACATCTGGTGAAAGTTGGGCATTACTGGTCCCAAGTTTTGCTCTCCCTGCCTGCAGGACTTATTTACGTTCTGCCCTTTGTCATTATCTGTAATAGAGCCCCACTCAAACCAAGCTCAGTGCAGTATTGATGACACTGATTGCCTTTGGAACTATTGTGGGATTACATTTTTATGGGAGTGAGCAAAGCTGCAGAAAACCTGTTTGGTCTCCTTGGCCATTTCCATCCTGTTGCTGTGACACCACTTCTCCTCTGCTCCCCTCCCAGTCCAGACCAGCACATCTGGGGCAGTTTGGGAGCTACAAAGGCAACTCTTGACTTTTTGCTGTGAGAGGAAACAGAAAGACACATGTCAGTGCCCACACACACATGGGTAGGGCATGGAGTAAAAATTAGTTCAGCTACTTGAGAGTATTTTCCAAAGTGTTTGACACCATCCCTACAGTTTAATCAGAACACTCCTGTACCCCTGGGCAGAGATCCTGCTGCTCTTAAGGCCCCTTTCCTTAGGAACAACTGGGGAATCCAGTAACTCTTCCCCCTCACAGTTTGGCTTTGCAAAGGCAGATGTGGAGTTTACAGTTTATTGCCGTGCTGGAGACTGTAGTTTTTGGGATTGTGCTCATGGCAGGCTGTGATTGATGTTGTCAATCTTGTGCAGGTGGGAGACATCGTGTCTGTCATTGATATGCCACCAAAGGAGCTGACCTCGTGGTGGAGAGGAAAACATGGATTTCAGGTAGGCACAAACACCAGAGATGATGATAAAACTTAAATAAAGGCGGGAAATTCAGCTGTTTGTTCCTGGAGCTGCTGTGCTGCACAGGACTGACTGTGGGGATGAACAGGGTGTCCTGTGTTGGTGTCAGGGCACTTCCTTTCTCCCTGGGCTTGGGCTGGAGACACCCAGGGACTCCATGGGAAGTTTGCTCCCTGCCTGCCATGGGAAGGAGGGCTGGCCATGGCCCTGTGATGGACAGCTGGCCTGATGTTTGTGGAAGCTCTGCTGTCCCCCTCCAAGGCAGCTGACACTGTTGTTCACATCACCCTGTTCCTTCCAGGAGCTAAAACCAGCTCAGGCAGAACATCGAGGATTCAGAGAACTCCAGTTGACAAAACAGTGCCACTGCCTTGGACAAGCCACCCATCCAAGCTGTGCTCTCATGCCTGTGTTTGCTGGGTGGTTTAAAGATTGCTGGGCTCTGTAAAACTTCCAGCAGAGAGATTTACACTGAATTTTCAAAAGGTCCTAAACATACCTGGGAATTAGGTACCAAAACTTCTGTGTCCAAATGGCTCTGTCCTTCTAAAGAGTTTTATTCCCTAACTTAGATTTTCTGATTGGGAAATGTAAAAGATAAAAAAGTCTCTGTTAACAAAGCAAAGCCCAAAGGTGCTGCAGGTTGGGGGGTGTGACTCCTGCCGTGTCTCGTGTTTCAGCTCCTTTCAGGCAGAGGGATTTTCATCCAGCAGCTGCTGTCTGTGAGGGGGTGGAATTATGAGTTGCTCTGGAGAGGGTCAGAATTGACCAGACACTTGTGTATTTTGGCATGGAAAGTCTTCTCAAGGTTCCTCAGTTTTTCCCTGGCAGACCTTTCTGTGCCAGGTCCAGCCTGTGGCCCGGCTGTCAGGGAGCAGTTGGATCTCCAAACACTACAAATCCCAGCTGGATGCAGTGGCAGTTAAATGATCACATTGCTGCCTACCCAACCAGAGCTTTTGTTGGCTTTGGATCAGATTTGGGAGTTCAGATAACATCTCATTTGTACAATCAGAAGAGCATGGACATGTGATACCTGCTCTGAAATTAGATTTGTCTCTGGAGTTAACACATTGATATTGCTTGAACAAACTTCTGGTTTTGAACTGTGTTATGGCTTTGCTGGACTTTTGTTCTAATTTTAGAAGCCTTAAAGCTTTATTTGCTGTACTATTAAATAGAATCATAGAATGGCTTGGGTTGGAAGGGCCCTTGGAGATCAGCAGTTCCAACTCCCAAATATTAGTTAAGTGCTTTAGTACTGATCAGGCCATGCCACATTTAACTTCCAAGTGAATCAGTAAAGCAAAATAAAGCTACTTTGTGATCTGGGCATGAGTGTGGACACTCTGCACACACTGATGGATTACCAGGGTTGATGATAATTCCATTATTCGGTGTGAGCTCCCTGCCTGCTGTCAGCCTGGCTGAAACTGGGACTAGGTCTGAAGAGTATCACTGGTGATTAAAGACACAAAAAGCAAGGCAGCTCTTCTGCAGTGTGTCACTGCCTTGTACCTCCCAGCTCACATCCCATTGTGCTTTCCAGCACAAAAACACATTGATGAGACTGTGGAAAGGGGTTTCTGTGTCCGTGCACAGTCAGGCTCCTCACACCACAGACCTGAACAGCTGCAGAAATAGAGCACCATATTCTGGCTTAACAGAAAATTAGGGGTGTAATAATCTCGTGTCCTTAATTCCAAGCAGAAGTCTGTGCCAGTGGGATCAGGTCACCCTGAGCCTCACACTCTGTGCAGATGCAGCTCTGGGTTTGTGGCTCTCGGGATGTTTCCCAAATGCAGTGGAGTTGTATTGGAAGGAGTTGCTGGTGGGGAACAGCCCATTGTCGTGTTCCTGCTCCTGTTGGTACAGAGCAGCTCAGTGAGTGCTGATTAAAGCCATCCCTTCACACACAGGGAGCTCCTCTGCACAGGAGCATCTTCCCTGGGAACTGCCAGGGTTTGGCCATTCCTCTGAAATGTACTTCCCAGCTTCTCCTGGCCAGGAAGCACCATCAGCTCCCCAGAGATGCAGATTCTGACCCCGTACAAAGACACAGAGGGGTTTTAACCTCTGTCATGTTTAAGGCCCGTGAGATGTGAGTGTCCATAAAAGGTACATTTCCTGAGCTAATGGAGCTCTTTGACCATGCTAACAGTGAGAAGAGAGTTCAGAGAAAGGAAATTCATGTCTGGTGTTGCTACACCAGCCCTAGAGATGTAGCAGTGCTGAAGTGCCCTGGATGAAGAGTGTGGAGGGGAAGAATGTTGTTATAGTACTTGGTGTAAGTACTTTATGATAGGCAAACAGTTCTGTTCCTGTTTAGGAACACTGTAAAAATGATAGCAATCTGTTGAGCCAGTCATTTGAATTAATCAAATAAATCACCAGAGCCTGTCTTGCCAGATAATTGTGATTCTGAGGGCAGATAAAAGGACAAAGTCCTAACACCAAATATTTGGACAATTTGTTCATGTTATTTCTCAGGTTTTTGCTCTGTGCTAGGGAAGGAGCAGTGTTTTATCAAACCCACCACAGCTTCCATCATCAATCATGTCTTGATAGGAGGAGAGCAAGAAGAGGATAAAAAATCCCCTGAACGGGGGAAAAATCACATCTTGACTTGAAAGGACTCCCCTGGTTTTGTGCATTTGGAGCAGCTGTGGGTTGTGCCTGCCCAGGCAGGACAACAGTCAGTCCTGGGCAGGGGATGTCCTGCCCGTCCCCATCCTTTGGGATAACGGGAGGGCTGTGGGGCTGGGCTGGAGGCAGGTCAGTGGAAGGCAGTTGTGACAGCCTGTGTGAGCTGCAGTGGATCCCTGGGGGGGTCAGTGTGTTCCTGCCAGGCACAGCTGTCCCTCAGGAATGACTCACCATTCCTGTTGTCCATAGATTTCCATGGTACAGTGCCTTTCTCTCCTACCTGAGCTCACGACTGCACTGCAACACTTAATCCTCTGCAAAACAACCCATGAGGCTTCGTATCATCTTCTCTGGTTAAAGCAAAATGATTTTTAAGACATTTTTCCTCAAGCCTTTTTTCTCTTCAGATGCTCTGAGTGTGAGTCACTGCTTTCTTTGTAAGATTGTTCCCTAAATTACAGCCACCTCCACATTAACAGCCTTCCAGCCTTCTTTGTTCTCCTCTGCCTTTGCTTCTTGCTTTGTCTTTTTCATCAGTGACTCCATGTCAGCTGAATCATTAGGGACAGGCCCTTGTTTGATGCACAACTGCTTGTGGATGTTCTGAGTCATTCTGGTTTTTGGGAATGGTTTCATGAGGGGCAGAGCTGCCCCACAGCAACCTGTGAGGTGACAAAACCGGTGTGTGCAACCGGAGGAGGACTGGGCTGCTTTTAATCAGGATTACAGGAGCTGGAGAGGCTGTGGGGCTGCAGGGCCCTGCTTCCACAGAATCCAGAATGCTTGGCTTGGAAGGGACCTAAAGATTGTCTCGTTCTGATGCCCTACCACCAGCCCAAGCCCTGTCCAACCTGGCCTTGGACACTCCCAGGGATGGGGCAGCCACAGCTTCTCTGGGCAGCCTGTGCCAGGGCCTCCCCACCCTCACAGGGAAGGGTTTCTTCTTCCCATCTAACCCTTCCCTCTGGCAGTGGGAAGCCATTCCCCCTTGTCCTGCCACTCCAGGCCTTGTCCCAAGTCCCTCTCCAGCACCAGTTTCCCCAAGTGCAGGTTGCACACCAGGCAGGAATGGATCATTGGCAGCTCTCACCCCACACAGATTTTATTTGTTTTTGAAAGAAAGAATTTTGAAGAGTTTTTTGGCCAAGGTGTTCATCTCTCTTTAACAAGGGCTCAGGGTGAGAGGACCAACAGTCCCATTCCTCCTGTAAGTGCTGTCCCTGAAGTGGGAGAACCTTGGCAGGGGATGCTTTGGGAACGAGGGGAGTTTGTCCTGCTCTCTGGGAAGTCACTTGGCAAACAAAGCAGTGAAGATTCTTCTCAGGAAGGCCAAACAGCTAATAAAAAAATAAGGATAAAACCTAACCGTCTTAGGTTTTGCTTGACTTTCATCAGATTTAAAAGGGGGACACTGACTGAAATTTAAACCACACTTTACTTTTTGTCAAAACAAAAAAAAAAAAACCACAACCAAAATGTCTCAAACAGTGTTTGATTTGCCATTTATATTGCTGCTGCTTTCTCACTTACTTAAATTCCCTCCTCATACGCTGAAAATTATTACTGTTAAATTATTGTTATACTGGAAAATTATTCCTGGCTTTTCCCCTTAAAACCTCGTGTTACTTCCAGTTTTAGCAGCCACTGGCATGAAAGTGAAAAATAAATCTGTAGTAACAATTGCAGAACTGTTTGCACCCCCAGCCTGTGCCTTCCCTCTCTGGTTAAGGTGTTCTTTTAACCTTTAGATGACCTTGTATTTATCTAAATTTATACTCCCCTGGCTATTAATTTTCGGACGTTGCCAAATCCTTTAATCCTGGCTCAAGCTCTAGTAGTGCCTTGCTACATCTGTTGAGATTAACTCTTGGACTAAACTCATTTATTTATACAAAATCATGGAAAACTTTCCATGGGAGGAAAAGCATCTTTTAATTGGGTGGGAATGAGGCACAAGCTGTGGGTTGTGACTCTGGTGATGATCTCTGGGGGATCTTGAGATAAAAGTTAGAATAAATAAGTCAGAAAATGTCATTCATTGGACTGTGAGCAGTGAGGAAACACCAGGGAGCTTGTCAACACTAACACGTGAAAATTCTTTTTCCCTAAAAATCCATTGTCATTATTAGTGTGGACATGGCAAAAGTGCTACATTGAGAGCAGGTATAATGTTTGATTTGGGTTCTGAGCTATCTAGAAGCAGTGACATAACCATGCAGGGTCTTTCATTTCTGAATTCCTGTTCAGTGTATTGGATAGTCCATTCAGAAACAGGAGGAATATTATGTTAACAGTCAAAGGAAGTGAGTTTTGATTACAGTGTGGGATCTGGGGTTGGATTCACATCCACACTTAGATGATTAATGGAAGGTTGGGGGCCCAGTGCTTCAGGTTTCTTTACATATCCCAGGCACAGACATTGTGGGCAATTATAAAAGTTCTCAGAGCATTGGAAATGGAAAGAAAGTTCATCCCTTCAGCTGTGGAGCCTCCCAGATGATCGTTTCTGTGGTGGGCTGAGACTTTCCCTGGTTGTGTATATTTTTCCTAATTTAAAAATTGTCTCCTGCATCTCTTGCATGGGAAATGTCCAACATTGCATGAGAAATGTCCACTCTCAGGATTGAAGTTGGGGATGTTCAGACTAGAGAAGAAAAAGGTGTGTGGAGAACTCAGAGCACCTTCCAAGTGTCTCAGTGGCTCCAGGGGAGCTGGAGAGGGAATGTTTTCCAGGAACTGTGGTGACAGGACGAGGGAGGATGGGTTCAAACTGACAGAGGGGAAATTTAGCTTAGATATTCAGAAGAAATCCTTCCCTGTAAGAGTGGGGAGGCCCTGGCATAGGGAGAAGCTGTGGCTGTCCCATCCCTGGAAGTGTCCAAGGCCAGGTTGGACAGGGCTTGGAGCCACCTGGGCTAGTGGAAGGTGTCCCTGCCATGGCAGAGGGTGGCACTGGAGGAACTTTAAGGTCCCTTCTAACAAAGCCATTTTATGATTCTGTGATTTAAAGCCCTGAATATTTTGTTTAAATCCCAGCACTTCTGTGTCTGTCCCACTCAGCCTGTTCCTCAACAGCTCCCAGCAGAGCAGAGACCCTGAGCTGCCTGAGGAAGGGCCCCTGGATGCCATGCTGGGGTTTATGCTGGTTTTCTTGTGCTAATTGTCCTATTGCTTCATATAAACTGCCCAAAAATCAACACTATGGCATATAATTCCAGGATACCATCTCCTGGCAAAGCTGGCACACCCAGCTGAGGGAGTGGGTGCAGCCACACCTTGTGTAGGGTGTGAGATGGGCTCTGAGAGTCACTTGGGCAGAAATGTGATGCCCAGGCCAGTGCCAGTCCCAGGAGCCACAGCTGAGGGCAGGGAGATCTGCTGGCCCAGTGCTGCTGTTCCAGGTGCTGTTCCTGAGCTCCCAGAGTCTTCCCAACAAGCACATTCCAAGTGTCATGGATGACAGTTTGTCCTGTACTTGGTTAAAACCCTGCCCTGCTGAATTTGGGGGTGTGGGAAGAGCAGTTACCTGCTGGTACTATTAACTGTTGCTTCCCTTAGGGAATCTGGAATAGTTCCAGTCTGGAATGTTTACCAGGACACCCCACACATGACACTGCCACTGAATTGCTGGGAGGTTTATGGGGGAAAATCAACTTGGTGTAGGAAGGAGATGAATTTTTTTTTTTCCTCAGAGACAAAAGGGAGTTGTGTAAGATGAATAAATAGAGGAGGAACTGTGTGCCAGGCCTGGTGCTGACTGCCTTGTGCCTCCAGTGGATTTCATGGATGTGGGTACATGACTGGCAGCATCCAGGCCCATCCACTGGCTCTTTGCCACGTGTTCCTGTGGCTTTGGACCAAACTGTGGCTGCCTGCAGTGACTTGGTGCTTCCAGCTGCCCCATCACGTGCCTGACACGGGCCAGGAAATCCTGCCCCTGCCTTGGATGAGGTGTCTGGGGAGGGAGGTGGTGCTGGAGTTCTGTGCCACAACACAGGAGCTGTCCTGGGGGAGGAGGTGGGGTGTGACAGGGAAAAAGGTCTGGAAATATGAAACCAAGGGTAAAAGTTTCCAAAGCTCTGCTCTGGTCTGACTTTCACCTGGGATGGGAGTAAGAAGGAAAATGCTGTGAACTAGAAATGCTGAGAAGTGGAAAACTCCTCTGTGGTGACAGCTCAGTCTGGATCCTTAACCAGAGAAAGGGAGATAATGCCACTGCTCCCCAGATACAGCGAGCCAGGGGTGGCCTAGGAATGTCTGCAGGCACATCCCATTCCAACACCAGGATCCTTCCCATACCCTTTCACCCTGCTCTGGTTTAGAGACATTCTGCAGCATTTTTGCCTTAGAGGGGATTCAGGGAGAAATCACAGAAGGTGGAATATGCTGAGTTGGAAGGGACCATCAGGATCATTGGGTCCAACTCCTGGCCCTGCACAGGACTCCCCAGGAATCCCACCCTGGGATTTCCATATCTTTTTCCCAAAAAGCAGTTCTTGTACTCGAGGGTAGGACATGAGCTGTTTGTTAAAGGACAGGGCAGGAACTCTGCAAATTCACATTTCCAGTGAGTCGGTGTGTCCTTGCTGTGCCCTGGGCACTCAGGTTCCTCCTGTCACAGGAGAAGCTGCACTCAAAGGTTGGCAGATTTTTTTTCCCCAGGGTGGGGCCTGGCTTTTGAAGCATCTTCAGATGTTTCCTAAGGACAACTCTAGAATATTCTGTGTGTTACAGCTTGCTGAGCAGATCCACAGCTAGTTCAGAGGGTTCAGCAGCTTGCAGGGGGGTGTTGGAGCTGTTTTCCCAGTTGCCAGTAATGGATATGGATGGGTGGCACTGTTCTCCCTTCTCCTTCTCTGGGGGAAACCGAGACACAAGAGTTGCACTGTCCATGATCCAAAGCAGATCCAAGAGCACACCAGGCTCGTGGTAGAGATTCCTTTGCTGCATCCTGCTCTCCTCTAAATATTTTATTTCCACTCAGATCACTGGATTCCTACAAACATAGAACTCATTTCACTCCATGTATATTTTATTAAACTTGTTCTCAGTTCTAGGACTGAATTGAATTCAATTGCACTAAACCCTCACTGAACTTCTTTAGCAGGTTTTTAAACGTGCTCCATTTGAACACTTCCCTTGTTACCCACACTGAGCAGGTCAGGCAGTGAGGCAAGGACACAGCAGAGCTTTGTGTCTGCAGAGTGCCTTCTCCTGACTTAGCAAATAAGAAAGCACCTTTTTTTCTGTAATGGGACCACACCATGCAAATACATGGGTCCATATTTGATTTCAGTTTTCTAAGGGGATAAAATGTTAAAGTGCTTGTGAGTGTTGTGTTTTGGCAGTGAAAAAGGTCAGGTGTCAGTGAGGTTTGAGTAGAGAGAACTGAGGTGATACTGAGAGCTGACACATCTTGTTCTCTCATTAAATTTCTGTCAGAGACCTCCAGCAAACCCAGCTAAAGCCTTTCTGTCTCTGAGTTCCACCCGAGATCTAAGGGGGTGTAGACACTTGTCGCAAGTTGAATATCTCTGTCCTGTGTACAAGCTCAGAAACCAAACTTATAAAATCATATTTTACAGGACTAATGATTTGGTTTGTAGAACTTCTGGCTTTTTTTGATAAACACTAAATAGCTGTGATAACTAATTTGAGAAGTTATTTCTCTCATGCTGGTCATTTGATGATGGATGATGTTATGGGGCATCTGGCCAGGGGAGTTCAGGGGACATATTGAATTAGCAGTTGCTGGTTGAACAGTTCAGATCATACACCCAATGTTCTGCCTCCTTGTGTCTCCCCACAGGTTGGATTTTTCCCCAGTGAGTGTGTTGAACTCATTAACGACAAAGTTCCTCAGTCCGTGACCAACTCGGTGCCCAAACCAGGTATGGAAATCTCCTTTTTGGCTGCAGGGACCTGAAATGGAGCTGTCTGTGTTCTGTTCTGGGTCCAATATCTCCTGTACATTATCATGTGTGCTGATCACCCTCCACACGTACCATGTGCCCTCTGTGTTGGTCACCCACAATTCCTCTCCCACTGTTAAATGTCTTTCCCTTGTTGTGTAAACTCACATCAAGTCCCTCTCCTACCTGACTTGAGAGATTTTAAACTTGTAAAGAATTTAAGATACTTTGAGCAATCTGTGATTGGGATTTCAGTTCTGGTGTGCAGAGAGTGTTGCATATCAGGGGTTTTTTGTTCAGAACATACAGGAACAGAATGTTTTTGCTGACTGAGATGGAATAAATTAATTTGGTACTGGAAGGTTCTTTGTGTTTGAGGATTGATGGAGAAAGTTGGATATAAGAGAACTTGGAATGCTGATTGCTGTGCTCTGGGTGTGTGGCTCCATCTACTTCTTCCTGCCTTCTGGACAGTTCTGTGTGAAATACAGGCAAGTTAATCCCAAGCTCTGCTGAGGAAAGGAATAATAAATAGAGAATGAGATTTTGGATCTGATTTTACTGTCAACCTTCCCATGCTTCCAGTATGCACTGGAAGGGATCACACTTAGTTGTGCTGGCCTGAGATCTCTGCAGAAATTACTGGAGATGAAGCTTTTGTTTAATTCTGAAATTTCTAAATCTATATATTACTATAGATAAAGATATTTCTGTATCTCTTTTGTATCAAGAGAAGCAGTTTGAATTTGCAGATCTTTCTTAAAATGTTATTCAGCTGGCAAGTTGAGTTGGTGTTGAACTGGTGTTCTTTTCATTCCTCTTCTCTATTTCAGTGGTGTTCCTTATCTTAGAAGATTGCTGACTTGATACTTTAAGACAAATAGATGAAATTCAGAAGTGTGACTTTTTCTAAGGGAAATAAATGCATTTTGTCAGATCAAAGCTTGGGAGTTTGGGTCCAGTGGTGGAAAGTTGTGGTCCTGAGCTGTGAGTGCTCTGTGTGTGCTCTGGAGAGCTGGCAGTTCAGGGGAATGGTGTTCCCAGCCACTGGCACCTCCAGCCTGTGTATTCCTGGGAATGTGCAGGTGCATTTGCTGCAGTCAGTGGCACAGAGATCCCTGGCTGCAGCAGGTGGGCATTCCCTGGATCCAGGATCTGCCCTCCAGGCAGGGCGACTTTAGGCAGGGCAACTGCCCAACCCTAGAGCAGGCAGGGGCAACTTTAAATGTAAAATAACCCCAGGCCAGGCCAGTGGATCCAACCATGAGCAAGGGTTTATTTTTAAACCTGGCTCAGGCAGTGGATTAGCTGGAGGTGCTGGGGAGCAGTGTCTGCTCTGCCCTGCTGGGAGATGATGGAGCTGCACATGAACAGATCCCCTTTGGCTCTGACAACCCCTGGGGTGGATCTCCTCCCTCAGCCTGGGAGATGTTTAGTGTAAAGTTGTCACCAAGAGCCCAGGTCCTGTTCAAAGTCCTGAGCTGGGAGATGCTGCCCAGTCTGAGACTGCCCTGCTGCCCTGCCCTGGGGCTCTCTGGGGGTGCAATTAAAGGCTCCTCAGGAGAGCACTAATGAGCTTCCAGACGTGAGGAATGCTGGAGTGATGGTGCAGCTCCTTCTGTGATCCTGGCCTGCCCCTGCTCTGCACACAGATTCCTGGTAGGATCTTTTTGGTGCATTGTGTGTTCTAGCTTTTCCTCCTGGGAATTAACAGCTCTTGGGTGGGGGAGGAGGAGTCTGGAGACTCTTCCTGGAATGCTGCAGAAGTTGGTGGGAGCAAGAAGGAGTCAGGGAGGAGGTTCCCATGGTTAACACTCGTTGGATGTGGTGCTGGAGGACTCAAGGAATTCTCTGCCTGGAGGGAAAGTGCTTGTGAAATCCAGGAGGGTGAGAGGATGGAGGGGAGGAAGGAGCTCCAGCTCCTGGGCTGTTGTGTACCTGCACAGCCCAGGAAGGTGACATGGGGCAGGAATGAGGTGCTGGAGCACCCTGGGTGGCTTCAGGAGCACTGCTGCCAAATGGGAAAGTGGATCTTCCCAAGGGCATCCTCCAGAGCCTCACCAGGAACGGCATTGCCATTCCAATATCCATGGCATAATAATATCCAATATTCATGGGATAATGCACTTCCCTCACCCAGATTCCATGCATTTCGTGTGTTCTAATCCATGACTTAAACACACAGGGGGTTTCTCATACACTTAAATATCCACATCAGTTATTTCCCCTCTTTACCTCTGTTTAAAATACCAGATTGACTTTTCCCAAGGATCAGAGACTTCCCTAAAAGTCTCACTTGGAGCTGTTGTCCTCACTTGACATTAGCAGGGTTATTTCATCTTGAATTAATGGGAAGTTTTAGATCTGGCCTTGATAAGCCCTACTTATAACAAGCCAACTTTATTTTCTTTAATCCAAATATGATGTGCAGAGCATCCAGGACACTGTGTCTGCAGAGTGAAGCTCTTTGCCACTAAGGAATTTCCAAGCACATGCTGGTTGACTGTCCCTGGATCTGGCTGGGCTGAGGAACCTGATGAAAAGCAGATGGAAAGCAAAGAACTTCCTGCCCTGGGTTTCTATTATTATTTCTAATTAGAGGGTTTGATGTGTACAAGTGGTGGGGACAGCATTTTAATAGAGCCATGAAATATTGCAGTGGGCTCTAATGCAGTTCAGATGGGAATGGAAACACAGGGAATGGGAGAGGAGGGTTGGGATTGAGGGCAGACTCTGCTTTTAAACACTGTTTTCACTGCCTGTGGAAGGATGTGCTTGCACCAGTGGTGGTACAACCAGGGCTAAGACAAGGGAGAGAAAATGGACCATGCAGGAAAACATTATTCAATTCTGAACAGTCAAAATAATAAGAAAGAATATTGTTTTGCTTTGAGTCAACTATGAAATGTATTTAATAATGAAGTTTGGATTCAGGAGGTGCTAGAAGGTACCTGTTGAGTGGTATTTGCCCCCCAGTATTGGGTTGAGCCTGTGCCCTTGTTTTGTTCGTGTTCAGTCCTGTAAGAAAATGCTTTTTTTCCAGTTGGGATGCAAACTGCCTTCCTGATTCTTTCTATTTATGTAAAAACCCCTGTAAAGATCCAGTAAGGTTCTGTGGGCTCATCAAACCCCACATTTATTGAGCACTTTCCTTTTTTCTGAATTCTTCCACTATTTTTACTCAGATACAATACTGTAATGATAATTTCTCAGCCTAAATTGTTGTACTGGATCCATAGCTAATATGTCCTAGCTGATACTGTCAATTTAGCTGACTTTCAGTGCCACAATAGATGGAATCAGCTCATGTTTAGGAAGATCTTTAAAGATCCAAGATAAAGATTGCATTTGAATTTTAGATATTTGGTGAGAAATGAATCTTTAAAATATTCATTGTGCTGCTCAGAAGGAAAAATGGGAATTGCTGCTCTGTTTGTTCCTTCTAAGTGAATGTTTGGGCATTGCCTGTAGGTTCTGGCTGTGTTGACTCTTCCCATTCCCTTCTGTCCATCTCTGCTTGGTCTATTTTTGGGAAAAGTGTGTTTCTGTCTGTGTGTTCACATTGTCCCTACTCATCCTATGGCACAGGCAGCACTCCTCAGCTCTCTGTCCCAGTCTGTCCTCTCTCGTAATTCTGGATAGTCGTAGTTTAACAGTATTTAACCCCCATCTCACCCTCCCCTCACACATCACTTTGTTTCCTGTCTTGTCCTAACAAGCAGCGTCTTGCTGGGACCAAACTTCCTGCAGGGGCCTTGGGGGGGTCGTTTGGGGGAGGTTCTGGGCACAGTTCTTGCTGGGGAGCAGCTGATTTCAGTGGGGATACCCAGAATAAAGCTGCACTTTGCACTGGGGCTCTCAGAGCTGAAGGGAAGAAATGAGGGAGAAGGAGGTAATATTTCATTTTTTCGCCTTCCACCCCCAAAAAATCAGCATTTTTAAAGCTTCAGGGGTCCTTCTCACCAGTTCCTCAGTCTCCTTTAGGACGAAGAATGAATAACCCAGCAGCTCTGCCAACTTTATGGAGGAGTTTACAGATTCCTGTCTCATCCTCTCATTTAAATTGAGTTTAACAGGTAAAGACACTCCTACAACGCAGGACCAAGGACACAGTAAAGGGGACCTGTCAGTATTACAAGGTGCTATAAATGACTAATTTTCTTTTTTAAAACATCAATAACAGATTTATCCAGGTCAGCACACCCAGCACAAATAATCCACTGAACTTCAGGAGGATTGAAATTTAGGTCTGGCTCAGCAACAGGCTCTGTCCTGACCTGCTGCAGACTCTGGGCAGTGCTGAATGAATTAATTTTAACTGCAAAAATGCAAATTGAGTTACATTCACTGTGTTAGAGCTGTTGGAATCAAAACAGGCTCCTCAGAGCCTGGCTGTGGATTAACAACCAGGATAAAAAAACCAGGATAAAAACCATTGTGATTGGGTTTTTATTTTAATAAAAATCAGGAAGAAGAAGAAGGTGCAAATAAAACTTAAATTCTGCCTGGGTTGAACAGCCATTTGACACCAATGAGAGCATCACGGCTTAATTAGTGCTTTTATAAGGAAAATATGGGAAGTTAAATGGACATAATTAGTACCAGCCTCGTTAATCTGATGTAAACAAACCAGTTGTTTGGCGTTCATGCAACTGTATCATTAAAGCTGAATTGAGTGCAAATTTATTGAGCCAGGACAGGCATCCATGGCCAGCAGGGAAACAGGGGATGAGCTCAGGGCTGCCAGCAGGAGACACAGACTGTGCTTCCAGAGCTGCCAGAGCTCAGCACCAATCCTGCAGGAATCCTGGTCCCTGGCAGAGCTCAGCACCAATCCTGCAGGAATCCTGGTCCCTGGCAGAGCTCAGCACTGATCCTGCAGGAATCCTGGTCCCTGGCAGAGCTCAGCACTGATCCTGCAGGAATCCTGGTCCCTGTGCTCCTGCAGGGCTGGAGCTCAAACAGATTCCTCCTCCTCA